GCTCGCTCATCAAAGTGCGGACACCGCCGCATCCGCTGCTGCCGCTTCCGCTGCTGCCGCTCTTTGTTGATCGCTCGTCGTTTGATGAAGCATCTCGGTGCGAACTTTGTTGGTTGGTTCATGAGCTTGGCTCCCCTCTAACGTACAGGAGGACGCGGTCGATGTGGCCCTCCTCTATTGCCATGGCTGGGCAAATGCCCTTGGTCGTGAGAATACATTTTCACTCGCACGGCTGTTCGCATTGACAAGGCTATTCTATTTGTCTGACTCGTTGTCATTGTTATCGTTGGACAATCCGATAAACATCTGCGATGCCCGTCTGATGGTCTGTTAATACCTTCCCAGATGCCGCACACAATTTGGGTCAACACGCTTTTGACGTAGCTTGCCCCGCAGTGTTTAGAGCCACCTACCTGCCGTCTCTTGGCATCTCTACATTCTGCCATCTCTGTCCTCGTTTCGATTGACTCTATTGTAAAAAATATTTTTGCCAAAGTTTGTAATTTTACAACATAATTACTATTACGGTATTATGTTTTTTTGTTTTATGGTAGAATGCTTTGATGTTGTCGCCCTTGAAAGAGCGCTTCTAAGCTCAAAGCGCTTCACTCGGGAAATAAACTTATTCGGACTCTGCCGATGCTGAACTTTAGCGCTGGGTGAGCTGAAATAACCAGAAAAGTAAGAAGAGTAGCAAACAACTGGCACGTTAAACAATAGCAACCAACTGGCACGTTAAACAATAGCAACTAACTGGCACGTTAAACAATAGCAACCAACTGGCGCGTTAAACAATAGCAACCAACTGGCGCGTTAAACAATAGCAACCAACTGGCACGTTAAACAATAGCAAACAACTGGCGCGTTAAACAATAGCAACCAACTGGCGCGTTAAACAATAGCAGCGAACTGGCGCATTAAACAATAGCAACCAACTGGAAACGTTAAACAATAGCAAACAACTGGCGCGTTAAACAATAGCAATCATCTGGCACGTTAAACAATAGCAAACAACTGGCGCGTTAAACAATAGCAAACAACTGGCGCTTTAAACAATAGCAACCAACTGACACGTTAAACAATAGCAACCAACTGACACGTTAAATAATAGCAACCAGCTGGCGCGTTAAAACGCTTTCAAAATGTGACGACGTCATTTATTTTTTTCGCTATGCCGGATAGTGGAGGGTACCACGACACAAATGTACGTGGATTAACCCATTTGTTTTCTTATCAACCATTAGTTGACTCAAACAGATTGTCTGGTGTTGTTGCACAATTAATAACGATTTACATTTATCAACAGCACTGGCTTAAAGCGGAAGAGGGGGGGGCACATATTAGGCGGCGTTTCGGGAAATGGCCCTTCTTCGTAGCAGAGAGACGTGCAATAACTGCCCTTATACGAATGGAACAATCCATCACTCCGCCTCTTGCCCGCACCAGGAAGACGATTGGGTTAACTGTCAATCGCCCTGGCCCTTGCTCTAGCCCTGACCCTAACCCCATCCATCCAACCAGATTCTATCGCGACCAGCCGCACCAATCCATCTTCTTTCGCACGGCTGATGTCGACGCACGGAGCATCAACAACAATTTCACATTCGGGTGGTCAAGCCCAGATAACCGCGTCGGGAGCAGCGGAGTGGCGTCGCCGTGACGTCTCGGCCATTGCGTCGCTGCGCGCCGTACGATCTGTTCTGGGTGGCCACAGTCGCACACTGGAGAGTCGAGTTCCAATTACTTTTTTTTTCCCAGCCGTACCACTGACTGACCCTTGAGCGCATCGGCCACCTGGACCCCGAGCCCAAACCCTGACCCAGTTAAAGTCGCCCGCGCGATCAATGCAGCGGCCACTCAGCGGCCGCGGAGATCACGCCGAACCTATTCCATGCAAACAAATCACAATCGGGTGGGGTTAAAAAAAATTTTTACACGCGATTCACTTGCGATATGAATAATAATGCCATTAATTAATTACGTTATATTCAAAGAATCGACGCGTCGTCACAGCCGCTGCAAGCGACATTGGCGCGAGGCGATGTAAGCGCGTCATGCGGATGGAATGTCCTTCAATCGCGCCTCTCTTTTCTGCTGTCAAGGATTATCGCGACACATTCTGGGCGCCGATTGTGAATGTGCGCGCCCTGTGTGTGTCGCGTGAGTTATGTGGGGAGCAGGAGTCCAGCGGCTGGCGCACTGCGATCCTCACCCCACCCCCCCCCCCCAGTTCGATTCCTCGCTCACAACCACCAACACAACTGCTGCTGGGCCTCGCTTGGGTCGACTCAGCCTTAAATGAGTACCTGGTGCGATGTGTAAACATCGCCTCGAGGTGGACAAAGGCGTCCGGGCGTGGCGCTGGCCACCCCCCCAACCGCCCCTCCCCCACCTACCTTTGTGTGCCATACCGAACTTGAGAGGTGCTCGCTAGCAGCACTTGCCCCCAAATGTCTGTAAATGCGATACGAGGGATCTTTTGTCTTTGTGTCCAGCACGCTGCGCTGAGAAGGCAGGCACCTGAGTTCGATTCCCGGCCACGCCTAACGCCACTGGCGGGTGAGATCTTCACCGCTCATGGCATCCACCAATCGCACACGTGACCAGCCGGAGTGGTGAAGTATGGTCAAACGAGGCAGTGAGAAAGGCCTTCGTCCAAGCGGGTTTCACGTTAGAGGGTTGTGCATTAGTACAACTGTTTTTATTTTATTTTGTTAAGTAAGAAACGTTCAATGAATTACTTAAACGTCCACTTAAAACTTGCTCTGTCAACAATTACACAGGACAAACACTTTAAAGCGAGGAGGCGGAACGGAAGACCGACCACGTGCACCCCTGCTGCTATGAACCGTCTCACGGGACGCACACAATCCACACACGACTCTCGACCTCACAGCCGAAGAGTTCGCATCGCGCCTGCGTCCTAACGTTTGCGACTCTCCCATCAGACCCCCTCCCTTTCGCCTTCCTCTCACTCCATCCCCCCGCCGCCCCCCAACCACCCCCTCCTGACACCCCATCCCCTCCGCCGTGGAGGAACATTCATTGAAATCCCGAATAATCGAACCTTTATGCGAGCAAGTCCTGGCGAATAAAAAAAACCCACACAGACACTGAGACACACACACACGCGAACGGACACACACACACACACGGACCTATAGAAAGCGGCCGACGCGCTGTTATCTTGACCTATATGATCATTTTAAATCAATCCTGTAAACAAAAGCCCAATGGCGTAACCATGTGAAGCTATGTAGCCCGATTGTGTCGCCTTCAATTAGGCGAGGTCTCTACCCCCCCGCCCGCTGCCCCCCCCCCCCCCACCAAAAAGACTCCGCCGCCACGGCCACGCACAGCCGAGCGAGGGCGAATTATTTATTTAATTATGGTCACGGCGCTGCGTTTTGCATGTGAATGGTGCCTCCTAAAACAGAGACCTCTTATTTCGCCTGCACGGAGGAGCACAAAAAAAAGACTGGGGGGGGGACGGCGGAGGGGGGCAAAGATCCAGACCCCCCCTCCTCCTCCTCCCCCCGACTACACCCCCCCACCTCCTCCTCCCCCCGACTGCACCCCCCCCACCTCCCCCCGACTGCACCCCCCCCCACCTCCGAACCCACCCGTCCCACGATTAGCACGAAGTGCGAGCTTTGAACGACTCCGTTGGTTAAAACAAATTCAAAATTGCGTTGGCAGTGCTGCACAAGGACCATCGCGCGAAACGTCGCGGCCTGTTATATATATGAATTCTATGTTAGGCCACACAGTGTTGTTGGCGAGTGTGTTGAGTAGGTTCTATTAATTTTAGTTCGTGGAAGGTTTCTCTCGCGACTTACAAAGAGAGATTTCCGAAGAGTTAGAGATACACAGAAAAATACAATTAGATGTACGCCGACAGTTACACATACATAGAGACACAAACAAAGATCCCCCGTATAGCCCTAACAGACTGTAGGGGCAAGTGCTGTTAGCGAGCACCTGTGAAGGCCGGAACGGTACACGAGGGGGTGGGTGGCCAGCACCACGCCCGACCGCCTTTGTCTCCCCAGTGGCGATGTTTACACACCGCACCAGGTACTCATTTCAGGCAGAGTCGACCTATATACATCGACACATACACACATACACAGATAGAACACAAACTCGAATACAACCGTTTGTCAATAACATCTCCTTAAATAAAACGATTTCGAACGTTTCGGGCAATGGCCCTTCTTCAGAGTATTGTTCACAGCTGTCAATTAAGTTGACCAAATGATCCGTCTCACACAGAGAGACGCACACACCCACGCGTCAAGCATATCCCGCATGCATCATACGCACTGACAGAGACAAAGATTCAGACTGTTGGGGAGGTGGGAGGCAACTGCTGTGAGCGAGTAGCAGGCCCCTATGAAGGCTGGAACAGCACGCGAGGGGGGGGGGGTGACCGGCACCACGCCCAGCCGTCTTTGTCTCCGCCCGTGGCGATGTTTACACCTTGCACCAGGTGCTCATTTGAGGCCGAGTCAAACCAAGGGAGACCCAGGACCGGTGCTGAAAATCGTCACCAGTGTTGGTGGTCGTGAGAGTGGGAATCGAACTCGGTCAGCCGGGTTCGTAGCGCAAACGCACGCGCTAACCGCTGCGCCACCGCTCCCTGCTACCCACGCACGCTCGCACCAATCGTCTCACGAACACCAGACGCCTGATAGGCACACGCAACCCGCAAACACTGCACTAGCACCACCACCGCCGCCACCCCCACGCAAACCACAACCATTACTCCCACCGCCTCTCTTCCTCCCTCAATTCCCAACCACATGCCACCCCCCCCCCCCCCCCCACTGTCAACCACCCCCCACCCTCCGCCCCCCCCCCCCTACCCCAGCCATCTCAAAGGGCCCATAACTCGTACCCCCACGACACAAACCCATACAAGCAAGGACCACCACCTTCACTGCATCCTGCCCACCCCCAACACTCCCATCACCACCACGACCACCACTCCCGCCACGTCTGGGCCCGTGTGTCTGTGCGTGTTACATTAATGCGCACGCACGGGCTCTACGTTCCCACTCGAGTCGCTTTATGAGCTGCGGGACGCGACCGAGACAACAAAAGAGGATTTACACCAAAAAAAAACACTCGCGCGCGCGAGCGCACACATGAGCGAGCGAGCGAACGAGCGAGTTAGCGAGCGCGCACTACACCATGGGGGAAAGTTTCCTGGGTGTAAGTTTTTTTTACGTCACCCGCCCTCCCCGCAGTCATGCCCCAACCACCACGGTGGTGACGAACATGCGAAATCAACATCATCAGTTGGAGCTGCAGGCACAGAGAGAGCGAGACGCGATAACTTTCGGCTCGACGGCAATGGGAAGATGCCACGCGCTCATAAACGCGACAAGCTCACGCGACAGCTGATTCGACGGCGCGACGTCCAATGGCGAGAGAGTGTGGGCGGGCCCATGCGAACGAACCAATAAGAAGCGGGATTCAACAGATAAGCGGCTCACGATTTTCGAGCGGGACAGTTTTTTTTTTGCGATGGTTGTCTTTTAATTTCACGACGTAAGCCGGAATTCACTTTACTTATTCAGCAAAAACACACGCGTTCGTGCCGTGCTTTTAAAAGTCGACGGCATAATTTTTAGTTTTGTGTTTCAACGTGTTTGCATTTCGCTCGGTACAGTTTAGTGACTGGATTGGTAATTTAAGGGAATCAATGAGCTTAATTAACTGTGCGTGCGTGTGTTTGTGTTTACATTTCTTACAGAGTTTGGAAGAAGATCGTACGCGTACATTTGACAGAGGTGAGATGCGAATATATTTGTTTAATTGATAACTGGCCAGCGTGGTGAAGTATGGTCAAAACAACCCTCATGACCAACAAACAGTGTTGGAAGGTCTTCATCCAGCAGTTGATTCATAGGGGGGATGTACATTATCTTCAACTTTTAGCGTTGTTTTCTGTTGTAACGGTCTGACCTGCCCCGACTGGACATCTGTGAAAAAAAAAGCTTTATAGTTCATCGGATTCCTCCAGTAATAAATAATTATTATTCTCACTCTGATCGTCGTCTGAAGGAAAAGAACCCAACGCGGCCAACCAATCACAATTCGTGCTGGGATTTACGGCGGCGTGATTGGCGGAGGGAATGTTAATGGGGGCACGGCTTGACCAAGCATGGATAAAAAAAATCATTTGCTTCTTTAAAAAAAACATATAAATGACACAATGGATAAGCTGACAATGTGTCTCCATATCTCTCTCTCTCTGTCCATACAAAACAACATACTTTTTTAAAGAGACTAAACAATATTTGCTTGGCCTTTAACATCGGGCTGTTTACCGGCATTGATTCAAACAAGCCTGGCGCTGAAATTCGACACCGGCTCCAGAGTTTTTCTTAAAATGAATGAATTTTCCCTGAAATTATTCACTTCCATAATGGTTATTTTTGTATACGTACAGAGACAGATATATTTAACGAGACGTTGTCTGCTCATATATTTTGCGATATGGAGGAAGGGGCTGTGAATAGGCTTGGGTTATGTCATCGGGTTATAGGGCTTCCGATTGGCTGTACTACAGCGCCTGAGGACTGCAGCGTGAGACGGCGTTGTGGTGGAACACAGAGCGGTGTGGCGGGACACACAGCGGTGTGGTGGGACACACAGCGGTGTGGTGGGATACAGAGTAGTGTGGTGGGCCACAGCGCGGTGTAGTGGGACACAGAGCGGTGTGGTGGGACACAGAGTGGTGTGGTGGTGCACAGCACGGTGTAGTGGGACACAGAGTGGTGGGGTGGGACACAGAGTGGTGTGGTGGCTCACACAGCGGTGTAGTGGGACACAGAGTGGTGGGGTGGTACACAGAGTGGTGTGGCTGAACACAGAGCGGTGTGGTGGGACACAGAGCGGTGTGGTGGGACACAGCGGTGTGGTGGGATACAGAGTAGTGTGGTGGGCCACAGCGCGGTGTGGTGGGCCACAGCGCGGTGTAGTGGGACACAGAGTGGTGGGGTGGGACACAGAGTGGTGTGGTGGGACACAGAGTGGTGTGGTAGGTCACAGAGCGGTGGGGTAGGACACAGAGTGGTGTGGTGAGACACAGCGCAGTGTAGTGGGACACAGAGCGGTGTGGTGGGACACAGAGCGGTGTGGTGGGACACAGAGCGGTGTGGTGGGACACAGAGCGGTGTGGTGAGACACAGAGTGGTGTGGTGAGACACAGAGCTGATTGACAATGATAATCGCGCTGCGACAATGTAATTCTTCCGGTGGGGGTCACCGATTCGATGAATCGACACGCCGACGATCCGTTCGCGATGCAATTCAAGGATCGTTTTCCCTCTCTGTCCCCCCAACACCACCGCCACCACTCCTATGGCACTGCGCGCCCCGTTCGTACAAGCTTGGTTCGCCTCCAATCATTAGCATAAATGTAACATTAGCATGGCATTTGCATGCGATTTGCACAAATCAAAAGGGGTCCTCGTTGTGACCCCGAAGGCGACTTACGAACGAATGCCGTCTGCGAGCACCTATTAAAGCCAAACGTGATACTGCACGCGCACGCGCACGCACGCGCGCACGCACGCGCACGGCGGCCCTACGATAGTCGCTCGTCAACAGCCCCCACCGCCAAACCGCCTGGCCGCAGTTGAAGTAAATTTTCCCGGGACGAGTCGATACGCGTGCGTCTCTAGCCGGCGTTCGACTGACCGAACTTGATTCGTTTTCATCGACGAAGTCCTCGGCCGTGCCTCGTCGCACTGTTGTTGTTGACGCAGTACACATTCCGACGTGTACATCTGCGGAGTGGGAATTCCTCCTCGGAATAAGACCTCGGCAGTGGATCGGTCGCGGCTGTAACGATGCTGATTGTCATGCCAAATTATTAATAGCCCGAGATATTCAAATAACGCGTGGAGTTTTTACTTTGCCACTGGGGGGAGTTAATGGGTGACCGGATGACGAATATTGTCCGGAAACTCTTTTAAAGGGGGACAACTTTTTAGGGGGGGGGGGGGGGGGGGTTGGGGACGCGGGGGGGGGGGTGCATGGGAGGGGTTCAAGTTGTCCTGGGCTCTAAACATTTCAGAAGGGCGCTAAGAGGTCACAGCGCTGACCCAACACTGCTCACAGTCTGGGATCAACTCAGGGTTTTCCGCCGCCTGTGATTAAACCGGGTTGGTCCTTAAGTGCGGTGAGTTGATGGCCTCAGTCCGGACACAAATTACCACACACACACAAGCGTCATCACATTAACTTCGGCTCTGCGCTTTATTCGATTAAATTACATATCTGAGAATTTCAAGACACACCGAGTTGACTGTATGTATGTACTGTATGTTGAACTTTCGCACCGTACAAAGCGAACCGCGCTAAGCGGAAGTGCGAGCTGTCATGCAGCGAGTGGCAGAGAGGGTGCGAGAGTACTTGCTGCCTTCCGTGGCGTCGATCAGAGGTCACACTGATGAAGGGCGCTCGGAAGTAGTTCTGGAACATTCCTTTCCGCGGGCCGTCCTCTACAACGGAGCGCTGCGCCGTATCGGCGAGTCCGCCGAATTTGTTTCTTGATTTCAGAAACGCGGCACTCTCCAATCACGCTCCGGATAACGTTTGAGGATAGGTCGTGTTAAATTAGGTAGCGTTGAGGGCGGGGGGCTCCTGTCTGGATTCAAGTCCACTCTCCCTTCGCCTATTCGCCCGTGTGCGCCGCACGTGTGGAACGAGCACGTGGCGCCTCTGTGCTGGGATTTCATCGATGCCACGTGCTGTGCGGTGGTCACTAGGGGCGGCGAAGAGGAGAGGATTCTGTGACAAAAGAGGAAACGATTTTTGTGCCCGACCTGCCGCGATCTTTGCCACGACCCTGTCCCCCTAAGCCTTGACATTTGACCATTGACCCTAAAGTCAGCGAGTCGTGTTCAGAGTGATTGAAAGAGGGGCGATAAATAATGACAAAGTCCCGGCATGGATTTGCACCGAGTGGGAATTGGGTGGTGAATTTGGAATGAATTCAAGAGTTTGTGAAGGACATGACTGTAAACAATTCTGTGATTGAAGTGGCATACCGGACATCATTTTGTGGTCAACGAAAGTCAAAACCCTGCAGATCCTTCCTCAGTAATCTAGCCCGCGATCTCCCGAACTCACACACCAACCCACCCACTCACAGACCCCAGGGCACACAAATCCACCCACAGAACAACTCACCACCCAGGAGCTCACCCACCCACTTAAGCGAACCACTCACTGACCAGTCACCAAAAAAACTCATCCACCAACAACCTCACCCACCCACTACAAAAACTCACCCACCAGCATACTCCTCCATCCACGAATAAACTCACCCACAAACTTACTCACCCACTACAAACTCACCCACCCACCACCAAATTTTCCCACACACCACCAAATTTACCCACCCACAAACTCACCCACCCACCCACTACAAAAACTCACCCACCCACCAGCATACTCCTCCATCCACGAATAAACTCACCCACAAACTCACTCACCCACTACAAACTCTCCCACACACCACCAAACTTACCCACCCACAAACTCACCCATCCACCCACAAACTCACCCACCCACGATCCCACCCGTACTGTGGAAACCCAGACAGGCTCGCCTCGTGTGCCAAGAGATCCTTAATGAGCAATTAATATGTAACCCCCCCCCCCCCAAGTGCGGCAGAAGTGTAAGGGGGGAGGGTGAGGTTGTGGGAGCGGTGCGGGAGTGGGGAGAGTGGGGTGGGGGTGCAGGCGGGGGTTGGTGGGTCAGAGCAAGGGGAGCAGAAGGGTGTATGGGGGGGGGGTGATGGCGGGGAGGGAGTGGAAGGTGGCGTCTGCGATGGTTTGTGCGAGCGCGCGCGCGTGAGAAAAGTACGACAAGAACGCCGTAGTGACGTCACCGGAGTGGCATGCACGCGGGCGCCCTTGGCCGTGGCTTCAAATGGTCCATCATCCTGGTACGACGAAGGCGAAGATTCCACCCACCGCCCCACCACCACCACCACCTCTGTTAGCAAAGCGCCTTGGGCAAGTAAGGTTACCAAGAACCTATGGCGCACGAACGGGGTGGATGGTCAACACAAGGCCCCAGCCGCTAATGTTTTCGCACCGCGCCAGGTGCTCGTTCGTGACCGAGCCGATCTCAGGGAGAGGCCGAGGATCGGTCTGGAAAATCGTCCCTCCGGTTTGCAGTACCGCGCGGCAACCACTGCGTCACACAGAGACGAGGCGAAGATCCCCCCCGTGTAGCATCAACAGATTGTTGGGGCTGCGAGCGGGGATCGACCGCGGGTTCTCGGCTGAGTGCGCTAACCACAACGCCACCGCTCCAATTGTCGTGTACACACATACACGACACACACGTGCGTCGTGTGTGTGTGTGCAGCAAGTTGATGTGAACAAAAGAACAAACACGTAAAATCTGTCCGGAGGGCTCGAGTGACGCCACTGTCGGACTGTCTGTTACAACGACAATGTTGTACGGATATTTGTGGCTGTCTATCTCCCTGTAACTGTCTTTGTGGGCTATCGATTTGTCTGTGTGACTGTTTGTATGGGAGCGGTAGTGTGGTGTGTGTGTGTGCAATACTGTGCGTGTGTGTGTTCATGTGCTCTACGAAACCGACGAGCCGAGTTCGACTCCCGCTCACGGCCAGCACCAGAAACGGCAACGATCTGAACCGATCCTGTGCATCCTCTAGGTCGACTCAGCCTCAAATCAATATACATATATATGGAACTAATACGTATGCTTCTTGTTTATTTTGTATACTTTAAGTGTAATT